TATGTTGTTGAAGGGTACAAATGCAGAAGAAAAAGAAGTTCTAGAGATCTAACGCAGAGCATAGTGACCATAGACAACAACATAATACTATAAACTTCAAAGTTCCTAAGAAACTAGATCTTAATAGTTCCCACCAGCAAAGAGAAATGATAATTATGTGACATGACAGAGGTGTTAGCTAACCCTATGGTGGTAATCATATTGCAATATATAAATGTATCAAATCAACACACTGTTATATGTCAACTGTACACCTCAAACTTACAAAATGTTAAATGTCAATTGCATCACAATTTTTTTAAAAAAGAAAAAATTGGACCACATCTCCCACTGCACTCCTAGTCCCTTTATCCTACTCTTTTTCTCTGCTCATCATCTAATCATCTGCTCATCATCTACTATTTTATGAAATTTATTTACTTCTCTTGCCTCCCCTCTGCTGCTGCTGTCACCCAAACCCCCCGGAAGTATAAGTGAAGAATCTTTGTTGTTCAGGGATAAATCCATAGTGCCTGGCACGTAGTAAGGTGTTTAAGAATATTAGTGAAATTAATTAATTCCTTATTTCCACACAGATGGTAAACTATTTTCTAATTTAAACTTTCTTACATGTTTTACTTTTTTTTTTTTTTTAAAGATTTTATTTATTTATTAGACAGAGACACAGCGAGAGAGGGAACACAAGCAGGGGGAGTGGGAGAGGGAGAAGCAGGCTTCCCGCCGAGCAGGGTGCCTGATGTGGGGCTTGATCCCAAGACCCTGGGACCATGACCTGAGCTGAAGGCAGACGCCTAACGACTGAGCCACCCAGGCGCCCCTCTTACATGTTTTAAATTGCAAAAGTAGTTAAGTGCTTGTTTTAGTTGGGGATACAGGGCCAAGATGTATGAAGAAACAGTTAATACAACAAATCTTCCCCCATTCTCATCCTTTTCAGCTTACCCAGTTAACCTATCTGTACCTTACTCTGGCTCTTATTAATATGTCCATATTTTCTACTTTTTATAAAAATAGCATCATATTCTAGTCTACAATGTGCTTTTCTTACATATTAACACATATATCATAGTATTATATATCAACAGATATGGATCAGTTCATTCTTTTTATTATCCACATAATAATTTTCCATACTACTGCTAGATCACATTTTGTTCAATTCCCATTAACATGCATGGATATCAGAGTTTAACCTGAAATAGAATAAATAATGTCCAGGGTTCTACATCTAATTAAAAATAATCATTAATTTTCATTAATGACCTTCAACCCATGAGAAGAGATATTAATTAAGCATAGTAAAATATGTGGGCTAAAACATTTTAATTTTAGTCACAGATTGAAACAATGTTTTCCTAGTTAATCTTCAGATTATATGAAAATTTAATCAATCAAAAAGTTCTAAACAATCAAGGAAACAATAATTTGTTTGCTACCTGTGTCTGTAAGGCACTACATTTTTATAATTCTTACCATAATAAAAATTTGACTATTATAATAGAGTATTAAAAAAATCTGTATTCTTTGATATGAAACATATATTACATATTTTATGTATGTAATACATAAATACAGTCATGAAAGATGAATAGGTCTAAATTGCAATCTTATGGAATTTTAAATTGTAAGTATAATTAACTAGACAATTATAGTTAATTAACAGGTAATTACAAATAACAGATAATTATCAGAAGTCATATACAGAAAAACAAATTGTCACACAACCACATTCCTTATTACCCTTATTCTTGATTTTCAGGTTAAAACAAGACCTTACTAAGGGGGTTATTTGCCTGTGGGTTATTATATGGTTATATAAAACTTGGTCTTTTAAAAAAACAACTACTCTTTTCTCTATTTCCTACTGGTTAGTTAATATAGAGATGATATTGGTAAATAACCGAAAACTTAAGTGTGTTACAGAAAATGTTCTATTCTCAAGGAAATAAGATCTGACCAGGAATTCTGAAGGTGACAAAGAGTTAAAATAAAATTACAGAAAGGGTCTGCTCTCCTGGACACGAGAAGACTCTTTTCATCTTTCACCAAAGGCTCTTAATGTAGGCATAAAATTGAAGTAGAGGGGAAATAAGGTTATTTCTTCCCCCAAGAGTACATTCCATTCGTCCCCTCCACTTCTTGAGCTGCTGGAGTCCACACCTTACTGCAGGAAATTAAGATGGAAACCAAGAAGAAGAAGAAAGTAAGAGAAGATAGCACAGACTGTGGCTATCCTCTTTTGAAGCTAAATCTAGGTGACTCAACTGTAGATTTTGATAGGTATAGATTATTTTTATTGTTTAATTCTACCTCCTGACAATGGAAAACACTTATTGATTTTTAACTTATCCTTTGACTAACATATACATTTAGTTTATCTTTTGAAGAATTTTCAGAAAAACTCTTCTCTTTGCATAAAGTTCATGTGTAGAAATAAGTCCTGAGAGAGTCTAGTTCGGAAATGTCAAGCTAGTGGCCGTTAGCTTGTTTTGTTTGGTCTACACCATCTGTCTTTCTAAAACTGAATTTATTTTCAATGTGTAAAAACTGGAAGATATCATATAAAAATTCCTATTTCTGATTCTTCTTGGAACATAAGAAGAACTGGGTATGGGCTTACATTCCCACATGGTAACCACCAGCTGGAGCCAAGTGCGGGCTGATCCCTTTGGAGAGGCCACATGCTCCCCAGGTCACCTTCATTCCATGTGGCCTGCTTATCTCATTTACATTATTTATATGGTCCCTGTTAACCATCTGTATTTGGTCTAGTCTTATGATAAAAACATGAAAAAAGTGAAAACCCTGGCCTTTATCAAGGGTGAAGCTTAGGCGTTTAAAAACAACAAAACATTGCTCGAATTAGCAAAGAACATTAATGAGTTAAAAATAAAATCTGTAATGCAGTTGTGAACTATTTTTAAACTGTTTCCATTCTCACTTCACTATTTTGCCCTTTAACCCAACATGTCTCTGCACACTGGCCATTCCCGGGAGCTGGGTGGTTGCATTTACACATAAGTGCACCTCTATATGCAGGTGGTAACATATATGTCCCACACCATAGCTTAATAAGATACAAATCACTGGATAGGACAACAGAGCACCTAGACCCTCAACCTGGCTCTTGTCATTAACTGCATGACAGGGGCAAACCCTTCTGGAGTTGAGCTCTTTCTTCATTTGTATAATGAGGGTATTGGACTAGATGAATACGTAAGTCTCTCCCCAGCACAGGCATTCTATTATTTGAGAACATCAGCATGTTTATAAAAGCTCTGAAAACATCCCTTAGGTAACAACAAAAAATAACTCCAGGAAAATTTATTTTAAGAAATATTTTAGAAAAGGGGCATTTTCCATGAGTACCACAAAAATAAAATTTTTATTACTGAAAGTAACATGCTAACTCATCAGTTCCTTGCTAATAAAATACTTTTAAATTTTTATCATTTATTTATTTATTTAAGATTTTATTTATTTATTTGACAGAGAGAGAGATAGTGAGAGCAGGAACACAAGCAGGGGGAGTGGGAGAGGGAGAAGCAGGCTTCCTGCTGAGCAGGGAGCCCGATGCGGGGCTCGATCCCAGGACCCTGGGATCGTGACCTGAGCCGAAGGCAGACGCTTAACGACTGAGCCACCCAGGCGCCCCAAAATACTTTTAAATTTAAAAAAGCCAAAATTATGTCATTTTCTTTTTTACTCCAGAAATTGCTAGCTAAGGACAGCATATGATGAAATAGGATTTTTGAAAGGAGGAATGTAAAATCTCAATAATTTATAAAATTTTAGCTGCTTTAAAAAAAGATCCTTTTTATTTGGTCCTATCTCTTCAAAGGAGTCCAGTGGAAACCCCAGGAGGATGAAATTAAGTTCCACTCATTTACCTCCCTCTGATACTTGCTATTTAGCTTTCTTGGAAGCTCATTTATTAGTTAATTTTAGCAGTCTATGTATTAAAGCTTAATGTATGTATTGTCTCAAATTCAAAATTTTTGAAGACCCCAGTTTTTGGTCAGATAATTTTTTTTAATTATAAGTTTGCATACTGTCTACAAAAATGATTATAAAGTTAAATTTTAGAGGATACTTGTGGTAGACAGAACTCTAAATCAGACCCCCAAATTTCCTGCCCTAATCTCTGAGATTGTGACTATGAGAAGATACCACACCTGTGGCTATTTATATTACACAATAAAAGGGATTTTGCAAATGTCACTGAGGTCATTAGTTAGTTGACGCAGTTCATCAAAAAGGAGACTATCCAGGTAGTCCTGACCTGATGACATGATTAAGGCAGAATTTTCTCCACTGGTGGCAGAAGAGGAAGCCAAAGAGCCCTGAAGCATGAGGGAGATATGACGCATTACTGTGGGCTTGAAGATGGTGACAAGCAATCTGGGCGCCCTAGGGAACTGAGATGGATCCCTGGCCAAGAGCCAGCAATGAAATGGAGACCTCAATTCTATAAGCATAAGGAACTGAATTCTGCAGACAACTTGAATGAGGTTGGAAGTCGATTTTCCCTGAATCTCCAGTCAAGGACTCAGCCCAGCTGACATCTTAATTACAGCCTTATGATACTCTGAGCAAAGAGCCCACTGGACTTACGACTTATAAAAAAAACTATGTGCTAATAAGTGGGTGTTATTTTAAGCCATCATGTTTGTAGTAGTTTATAATGGAACAATAGAAAACTAACACAGTGCTGAGGAATTATTATTAAAAAGGAAAAAAAATCAACTACGATCTGACTGCTACATTTTTCAGAGTGCCTAGGTTCAAAGTGGAATTATTAAGTTGTTTCACGTTGAGAAAAAAAATGTGTGTTTAAGAGTAGAAGTGGTAATTCTTAGGAAATGGGGCAAACTGAAACCCAGAACAAATATGGAACATTCACACTGGATTTCAATTATAGCAAAATGAAATTATACATAAAAAAATCTAGACATTTCAATTTCAAACTCAAGGGAAACATTTATAGTAGAAATACTTACCCTATTTTGAAAAAATGATGCATGAAAATGTGATGTTGTAGCAGATATTGATACTAAGGTAATAGTTTCTTCAGAACTAGGATTATGTAAGTAAACTTTTTCCATTTTTGGCATTCCAACTGGCCTGTAAAAAAAAAGAACAAAAAAAAAACTTGTCACAAATACTTCAAAGATCATTTCTAGTTGTTAAAAAAATTAAATATCTAAACTACTGGACAAATACATATCCAAACATATAAGACTATTATAAATTGGTTTATATTTAAAATTACACATGAAAATGCATTCAACAAATATATGGTGAATGCCAATTTTATGTTACACACTGAGCCAGGGGCTGGGATATGATGAAGCAAGTCTCTGCTTGGAGGAAGCTTACAGTCCAGTGAGGAAGCAGGGAGGGAACAAAATGGTCAGATGCTTGCACTGCTTTCTGTAATACCACCCTGCTTTCCTACTAATTCTTTTTTTTTTCTTTTAAATTTTTATGTCCTCTTCTCCCCAAATTCCACTGATAAATGCTCTTCAATTTAGGAAAAACTGAGTGGCAAAGTTATGTGAGCAGATCTGCCTTATGAGTTAGGGGTGATTATTGTCCTCATTTTATAGATGAGGATACTGAGGAACAGAAAAGTTACTTAACTTGTCCAAAGTCATACTTGGAATCTAAATTAGAATCCAGACCATCTGGCTTTAGTCCATGTTCTAACCCATTATACTAAACTGTCTACTCTCAAAGTAACAACATAAAACACACGCTCAGTGGTCTGATACCCACAGATGTATTTTAATGTTCTCCTTGGCATCCACATTATAGTTTGTCTTAAAGTGAAATCTCAGTTATGTAGTCCATTGAGTACGTACACAGCTAATCTTAGTTGTACAGGCCTCCTGATTCCTACAGCATCAGAGAATTCTGCATATAAATTACATTTCTTCTTAATACTCTCTAATCATTTAATTGGCACCACTCTTACTTCCTCAACAAGATTATCAGCACCATTTCGGACAAAGGTTACATTATATATGCACCGTGTAGTCTCCATGTTTTCTAGCACAGGCACTTGGTAAGAGTGTGCATGGGTGAGCTTGCTCCCCTGCACACCCCTACCTAGTGGAAATTAAGGTCCTCCTTAACCTGACATCACTCAACCTAAACAAGTAACTAACTCCCTATGTTTTCACAGCCTTCCAACCTGGCCTAGGCTGGTTTCATGGGCACAGCCCCCCATGCCTTTACCAATCTCTTTGTTCTGCATTTTCCTCCCTATCCTCTATGCCAATCCAAATCCTCATTTTCTAATTCAAAAACAATTTCTTTCACAAGGTTCTCTCCTCAGGCAACTATTCTGGTCCACATTTTTATTTTATTCATGCCTGCTCTCCTTGAACACCCCACCCCCATACATACACAAACAACAATGCTGGAAAAATGCAGAAGCTAGAGAAAGGTACTGATCCCAAGGATTAACTAAAAAGCAGCAAGAAACCCTTGGGGGAACAGAAGGTTGCCTTGAACTGGAAGGCGGGGAAAAGTGAGGGACAAAGAATAGCCTAAGATGACAAGGAGAGGCTAGGGTAGAGGACGTCTTCAAAACTTTATTCTTCTCCATTTCCTTCCCTGCTTGCCTTGGGACAATCAGCGCCTGCCCTGTCAAACTGGAACAGCAGAGGGGCTTAGAAAGGTAAAAATCTGATAATCAACTACCGTGGAGCATACCCACATCTAACTCCTCTCTTTGGTCCTCCAAAGACCAAGAGCTATTTGATTGCAATTTAGGAAGACACCTCCATCCTGATGATTCTGCTTAAGCACTATCAGATAGAGTGGTGGCCAACATAGGACAATTACCAGTTTTTACACATTTGTGAGTGTGGAACTGGATCTTTCTTCCTTGGGGATAATCTCCCCTCTTAAATTCACAAAAGAACCAAAAAGGCTTGGTATTCTGCCTTACCTCAATATGCATTACAGGACAGGAGCTCTTAAGTTCACACATCAAAATAACATGATCTGTGAGGAGTATAATCAATTAGAAAACATACCATGTTGTGGTAAACTGTAGTGTTCCTAATCTGCTGACAGAACCTGTGAGAGGATTATACTTCTCTTCATTAACATTAGGCTTGGCCATAAGATTTTCTTTGGCCAATGAAATGTGAGTAAAAGGGACATATAACATTAAGTTTTAAAAATCATCTTTTACTCTTTCCTCTTTGCACATTGTTCCAAGAAATGGCATTTCTCAGATAGGAGTGCTGATTTCAGTCTACATCCCACTAAGATTTTGGGGCTGGTTGTGGTCATAGTATATTTGACTTGGTAAGTTCTGCATAATACACACCTGAAGTTGGAAAAGTTGAACCAAGAACTAAAAATAAGCACAATAGGATATATTTAGGAGATATGGCAAGACATTAGTAAAACAAAGTAAGAAATCATATAGAAAAAGAAAATATTAGTATAAAAATATAATGTATAAAGGTAGATAAAAATCTATTAGTGGGTTGGAAGATCACACTGACAATTTAGTTCAGAATTCAGCAAGAAAAAAATATACAGAATATTTTAAAAGAGCTAAAAGAAACAAAAGAGAAGCAGATATGTAGGGCATAACTAGAAATGGTAATATTTAGAAGATGGACTATAGGAATATTTAAGATTATGGACAAAATTAATGGGTAAAATCCAAACTTTAAAAAAATGACAAATTAATTCTTTTTCTTTAAAGATTTACTTATTTGAGAGAGAGTGCATGCACACACGTTGGGGGAAGGGACGTAGGGAGGAGGGAAGGAGCAGAGGGAGAAGGGGAGAGAAACTTTAACAGACTCTGCACTCAGTGAGGAGCCCAACCCAGGGCTTGATCTCATGACCCTGAGATCGTGACCTGAGATGAAACCAAGAGTGGGAGGCTTAACTGACTGTGCCACCCAGGCACCTCAAATATAAACTAATTCTTAATTGAAAGGGTTTATGAAGTGTCAACAAGGAGAGATAAGGAAACCCTGTACTTATCAGAGTAAAATTTAAGAGTTCTTTATACAATATGGATTAATTGTCTTATGAGACTTTTGCAAGTATTTTCTCCCATTGTGTGGAGTCTTTTCACTTTCCTGATGGTATCATTTATAGTACAAAAGTTTTAAATTTTTTATGTAATTCAATTTGTACATTTTGTCTTTTATCACTGGTGCTTCTGGAGTCATATCTAAGAAACCACTGCATAACAGAGATATATTCCAGTATTTTCTTCTAAAGGTTTTATAGTTTAGCTTCATTATATTTATATTTAGCTCTACGGTACACTTTGAATTAATTTTGTGTGAGGCAGGGATCCAACTTAACTCTTTCATATGTGGATACCCAGTTGTCCCAGTGCCACTTGTTGCAAAGACTATTCTTTATCTTTTGTTTTGGCACCCGTGTCAAAATCAACTGGCAATAAATGTAAAGTTCTATTTCTGGGATCTAAATCCTTTTCCATTTATTTATGTCTTTCCTTATGGCAGTGTCACAGTGTCTTGACTAAAGCTTATGTAAAGTTTCTGATATTGGGCACTGAAAGTTCTCTATTGGTCTCCTTTTAAAAGAATGGCTATTCTGGATCCCTCTTATTTCATGTGAATTTTAAGGTCGGCTTGTCCATTTCTACAAAAATGTCAGTTGGGATTTTGATGGGGATTGTGCTGAATTCATAGATCAATTTAGGGAGTATCGTCATCTTTATTCTGATCTATGAATAGGAAATGGCTTCCATTTATTTAATTCTTTAATTTCTTTTGACAATGGTTTGCTGTTTATAGTATACAGGTCTTACATTACTTTTGTTAAATTTATATCTAAGTATTGTACTCTTTTTGAGTTATTATAAATGGAACTGTTTTCTTAATTTTTAATTGCTCATTGCTAGTGTATAGAAATATAATTTATTTTACATATTGATCTTATATCCTGTAACCTTGCTGAACTCACTTATTCTAATTTTTTTAAGTGGATTGCTTACGATTTTCTATATACAAGAGTGTAACATCCAAAAATAGAGATGGTTTTACTTTTTCCTTTCCAATCTGGGTGCCTTTTGCTTCTTTTTCTTGCATAACTGCCCTGGTTCTTGATGTAGGGAGAAATCTTTCAGTCTTTCACCATTAAATATGATGTTAGCTGTGGGACTTTCATAGGTGTTCTTTATCAGGCTAGGGAAATTCTTTTCTAGTCTTATTTTTTTTTGAGTGTTATTACCCTGAAAGGATGTATTTTCAAATCCTTTTTGTGTATGTGTTTACTGACATGATGTTTTTTCTCCCCTTTATTGGATTAACATGGTGTATATTATATTAATTGAATTTCAGATGTGAGCTTGAATTCACGATCCTGGGATTAAGACCTGAGCTGAGATCAAGAGTCAGTTGCTTAACCGACTGAGCCACCCAGGCACCCCGGTATATAATCATTTTTATGTGTTGCTGATTTTGGTTTTTATTATTTTGTGGATGAATTTTAACAAAAGGGGTATTGGTCTATAGTTTTCTTGTAGCGTCTCTGTGAGGTTTTGGTAAAATGGTAATGCAGGCCTAACATACTGAGTTGGGAAATGTTCCCTCTTCTATTGTTTGGAAGAGTTCGTAGTGGATTGGTATTAATTCTTCTTTGAATTTTTGGTAGAATTAATCAATAAGGCTTTCTGTGCTTCTGAGCTTTCATTCTGGGAAGTTTTTTGATTACTAATTCAAACTCTTTACTTTTTATGTCTATTCAGACTTTCTATTTCTTCTTAGGTCAGTTTTGGTAATTTGTGTCTTCAGGAATTTGTCCATTTCAATTAAGTTAATGAATTTGTCAGCATATAGTTGTTCATGGTATTCCCTTATAATCCTTTTTTAAATTTCTATAAGGTTGATAGTAATGTCACCTCTTTCATTCCCGATTTTAGTAATTTGAGAGTCTTTTCTCTTTATTGCTTGGTCAGTCTAGCTAAGGGTTTGTCCATTTTGTTGCTCTTTTCAAAGAATCAATTTCTATTAATTTTCTCTATTATTTTTATCTGTATTTTATTTGTTTTTACTCTAGTCTTCATTATTTCTTTCTTTCTAATTATTTCTTACCTTATTTTTCTTTTTCTA